TGACAATAAAATCGTCAAGGTACTCTCGAAAAATGTCATTTATCATATGTTGAAAGACCGCTGGAGCATTGGTAAGACCAAAGGGCATGACATTATATTCAAAATGGCCATACCTTGTACGGAACGCTGTCTTCCACTCATCTCCTTCCTTGATTCATACGAGGTTGTAAGCTCCCCTTAGATCAATTTTTGTAAAGATCCTTGCACGTCCAAGTTGTTCTAAGAGACCAGAAATCAAGGGTAATGCATAACGATTCTTCTTTGTTACCTTGTTGAGGCCTCGATAGTCCACGCACATCCGCAACGAGCCATCTTTCTTCTTCACAAATAAGATGGGTGCTCCAACTGATGATTTTGAATGACGGATGAAGTTCTTGGCTAAATTCTCGTCGATGTACTTCCGCAACTCCACCAACTCCATCTGCGATAGATTGTAGATTGGGCCAAAAGGCGGTTGTGCTCCTTCCTGTAAGTCTATGGCGCAATCATATGGTCTGTGTTTCGGTAGCATGTCGGCATTTTTCTTTTGAAACACGTCTTTAAAATCCTTATATTGCTCCGGTATACTTGTTGTCGAGATCTTCTCCCCGGTAGTTGGAGCCGCATAAATGACAAACGGTGTGCCTCCTTTGGACAATCTTATAAACGCTCTTGCTCCAATAAATAAGGATTTCTCTATTCAAGGTTTTCTACTAGGCTTGCTCTTGGGTGGTTTTGTGGGAAAGGTCATCTTCCGCAACTTCCAATCTATGGATGGATTATGCTTTTCCAACCAAGAAAGATCAAGAATAACAGGATTTGATGGGGTTCTAATAATATTGGAAATAATATGACTACTATGGTCCTTAAACATCACTTCTATAGGTTCTGATTCATGGGTGACACTACCAGACAATAAAGATCGTCCATCTATGACCTCAACATGAACAGGTTTGGATTTTTGTACTAAAGAGATCTTATGATGCCTTGCAAATTCTTCGTCTAAGAAACAAGCAGATGCTCCTGAATCTAATAATGCTAAGGTTCTCAGTTTCTGAGGGCCAATAAGCAAAAGGATTGTAAAACAAAGGGCAAGTTGAGCAGAAAGAAAGGAATCTGGTTGTTGTTGCGATATTTCACTGTCCAGTCGCACGGTTCCTATTGTGGCTGGGCATCTTCGTGTTCCTGAATAAACACACCCCTAGTCTTGATAATACGTCGATTTTGCTTCTTGGGGCAGTTTCCAACTTTGTGGCCTTCTTCACCACAATACAAGCATAGACCTTCCTCCATACTCTGCTTTTTTTCTTCTAGAGTAAGAGATTTGACACGTACCTCATCAATTTGCATGTCTTCTACCTCTGAATGTGAATTCACGCTGTTTGCTGACATAGTTGGGGTGTGGCGAACTGTATGTTGTCTTGAACGTTGGTCTTGGCGACGTTGAAAGAGGCGATTATCGCACTTCAGAGCTTGGCTAATACCTTCGTTGAGCGTTTGCGGATCAGGAAGAGTTAACAGCAAATCCTTCACATCGTCCCTTAAACCCCAATAGAATTGACTCATCAACGCTTCTTCGTCCCAATTGATGTCACATGCTAATATCCTGAAGTCCGATGCATAGACTGATGTAGAACGCATCCCTTGTCGTAGTGACCGGATCTTTGTTGTAGCCCATCGAACCTTGTCGTGTTCACCAAATGCTTCTGCAAATGCCTCCAAAAAGGTTTCGAAGTTGTTTAATATGGACGATCGTTTCTCAAACAAAGGAGCAAACCATGATAGAACTTGTCCTGTAAGTAAGGTTCCAACAAGCCCAACACGTGACTCCTCCGTTGGATAGCGTTCGGGCTGTAAAACTGTTATCAACTTGATTTAGTTGATGAATCCTCGAAACTTGGAACGTGTACCATCGAACTTGTCCGGAAGGCTAACTCGGGGTTCCTTATGTTGTAGAACCAGCGGTGCTTGTCGAACATGAGGCAAATTTGCTTCTCCAAGTGTAGAAGTTTGAGGCTGGTGCAATCTAGATTGTGCCATCCCAGATGCTCCATCATTATGAAGCCTTGCCACGAGTCCTTCAATCTCTGCAGTTCTTTGTGATAACGTAGGGAGGGCATTCATGATAGCATCTAACTTGGACTCTGAACTTTCCGTCATACTAATGTCTTGGCCCCCGACCATTCTAAAAGAAGGACAGAAATGACTCTACAAGAAGACAATATTGGTTTAGAGGAGGGTACTCCGCAACCTCTAAGATGCCTTAAGAGCTTCAAGAAAAGGGATAATCCACTCTCTCCAAGAAGAATAAGACTCCAATATTGTAATAAAAGAAGTATCAGTTTAGAGGAGGGTAATCCGCAACCTCTAAAGTGCTAGTACACTTCCAAGCACAGGGGTAATCCACACTCTAACAAAGAAGGAACTAGCTCTGATATCTGAGGTGAGTGAAGTCTCGACAAACTGTCATGGACACAGAATACAGACTTGATATCTACCAAGAAGTTCAAGAAGAACTGGCAAGAACTAGATTAATCAGATGAATACAAGAACAATACCAGAGAGGTGAGCTAGAGCTCCAAGAGATGTGTTATCGAGACTGAAGAACTCTTCAGCCTCGATTCCAATATATACTCCTATTTAGGAAGCTTCTCAAACAACTTCTACCAACTAGGAAGCTTCTAGAAAGTTCCAGAGACTTGCTTCTAGAAGGTTCTAGAAACTTATCTCTAGAAGGTTCTAAGGACTATGTCCCTAACATCTTCTATCAACTAAAAAGCTTCTAGAAGGTTCTAGAGACTTGCTTCTAGAAGGTTCTAGAAGCTTGTCTCTAGAAGGTTCTAGAAACTTGTCTCTAGAAGGTTCTAAGGACTATATCCCTAACACTTTGTAGGTGTTGTTTTTTTTTGTTGAATAGTCAAAAGATTATTCCACCTCTTAATAATATTTTTGTTAAAAATATTATTGCAGATGGAAGAAAAGTAGAATACACATCAACAAAGTGACAATGGATTTATGACAATTGTAGATCTTCATGATTATTGTAATACTCTTCAAGATGAAATTTCACGTATTAGCAACTCCAACAATAGGAGCCTTGTTTCAATGCCTATAGGAGAAGTCAACAATAAAGTTCAAAGTTTACGCCAAGAAGTTTTTCAATTACGGAAAGTAAGTATAAGTAGACAAGCATCACAATTGGATTCTAAAATTTATTTTACAACAAATTTAAAAAAACCAAAGATCAATATGGTAGAGAAATTTAATGATATAAGATCAAGATTTGGACATATTGATCAAGAAAGGGTAGCAGAAATCAAACTTCAATCTTTGCAACAAGGATCACATTCTACTACCATATATGTTGTTATATTTCAAAAAGTCATATGTGATGTGGATTGGAATGACAAAGCACTTAACAACAAACTCTGACATGGATTGAATGATAATACGAAGGATTTATTGTTAATAATGACAAAAACTAAATCTTTAAAGCAATTCATCACTCAAGCAATTACATGTGATAATCGACTATTTGAAAGACGTCAAGAACAAAGTCTTGGTTGGAGAGGAGCAAATCAAACTATTACACCTACTTCTCATAGTATGAAAAATTATTTTTCAAGATCTAAAGCTATATAAATTGATACTACTCAATCTAAAGAACTAATCCTAAAAAAAAAAGACAAATGCCAATGTAAAAATCTATGCTTGTATTATAGAAAAGTAGGACCTAACGTAAAAGATTGTTAAGTGAAATTGAATAGATCTAGAGTTTGAAGCAAATATATAAAGATGTAGAAGTTAGAAAACAAAGCCATCCACTTGTGGTATAAACCTTGCAATAAGACAACTCTACATTTCAACCATCAAATACAAGTTTCATTATTGTCAAGGACAAGAACTCAATGAAAAAGCAATTCAGACAAGTGAGCCTTCACTCAAAGAAACGTAACGAAAAATAAATAAATAAGTATGTATATTGAAAGAGAAACTAGAATGGCTATTACCAAAAGATAAGAAAATTAGAGACCCTTGAAACTAGACTAGATGCAAGAAAAGGAGTTGACAAGAGTGAAGAAGGCTTCACTCTTGTCTATATATATACTATCTAACTAGGGGATATGTGGCGACGTTCTATAGGACCTCCAATATGTGTTGACTTTGTAGGATACATGCTTTGACTTACAAGGCAAGTTTTTCTACGTGTGGGCCACATTGTTAGCTTGATCTTCAAGCTAACAACATGTGTGGCACATGGCCAACTTATTGACCACGTTTCTAACCAAAAAGTCAATTAAAAACACTTATGAAGTCAAAACAATGTCTATGAAGCTTCTAAGAAGCTTCTATATTAAATACTATAGAATTAACTTACTTTTACCTACTTTTACTTACTTTCACCTATTTGTATATGTAATTACTAGCTTACATGAGTATGTCCGTGACAATTATACCATCAAATCTTAGACCTTGTTTTAGGTTTTCTATATGTATTAAAATATTATAGTATAAATTTTTAATGAAAGATCTTTTAGACATTAGGTCTTTTTAGGTTTAACATGTTTAATAAAAAAAATAAAAAATAAAAAAATACAAAATAACACAATTTGGTATTTGCAAAGAAAAGCATCTCAATACTAATAGATATGATTATTGGTCAACTATCTACATCTATAGATATTGTTGAAGAAACCAATCCATTAAAAGTGTTGCTAGAAGACCAAGTATCTAAATTTTTTCTAATATCATCCAATATCCTTCGAATGGACTTAAATTTGAAAACTGTATTGAATGAAGTTCCAAATTTGAAGAATTTAAAAGTTTGAAAACCCTGATCAGGAATTATGTGGCTCTGACAACTTTAACTGCCAAATCCAAAAAGACTTGAACTTGTGTTTAGGTGAATAAATTGGATTCATTGCTATTAAATAGAATAAATATAAATATTACAATAGAATAAATATTACATATAATACACAACAAATACCACACACAAAGTTGATACTAGTGATGTGCAAATGTGCCATTGCCTTCACCGTTTCCGGCGAAATCCTCTTGTCGTCAACTGTAAACCCTAAGCCCTAAATGTGGAGGAATCTGATGCCGTCTTTTTTGTTGTGTTGCAATTGGGTTTGTCTGTCTTGACCTGAAAATCTCGGATCTGTCACGAGGTGGGCTTTGTTTGTTGAAACCTCCGTGTTCTGATTTCGTAACTGAGCGATCATGGGAAAACAGTGTGAAGTATGCAAGGATGCAGAGTCCAAATACAAGTGCCCAATTTGCTTAACACCTTAGTAAGCCATCTCTCGCTTTCATGGAGGATTTTGTTTTATACTTTGTGTACTGTTTGAGTTCAGATTTAGTACAGTAATTTTTTCGGATTAGTCGATTGTCGGTCCTTGTTTCTGTTCCAGATGCTTGCTTTGAGCGTTGTGACGTGAAATTGTGACCTAACAGATGAGTGTGATTATGGGTGATGGTTTTGCAGCTGTTCTCTGGTTTGCTACAAGAAGCATAAAGGTAGAAGCTCGTAGTTGCCTGCTCCGTCCATCTAGGGTTTTGTAGAGAGATGGTCTGCTGTGAGCTTACACAAATACGTGAGTTGCAAAGAAAGTCTAGATTTCAGAGTTTAGGGTTTTTTTGTACTCACAGCTGCATGAAGCTGTAGAATTTTTCACGATGAAGCAAGTTTCGGGCTTGTATGTTTCTCATTTATTAGAACAGGAGTAGTTGTAGGTTTGGATCAGATTCTCTGCTGTGTTGATAGTTGAACCCACTAATCCACTGTTTGTGCTTCAAGTAGTATTGAAAACAGGATTGTCTCAGTATCGTCTCTCTAGGCTTACACCTTGTTGTGCTGTGTAGAAATACCATGTGCAAAGCCAAATGCAAATGGAAATAATGCCGGTAGGTTTCGAATTCTTTGGTTTTCAAGGAGACTCGAGTATGAGTTTCACAGTTTTGCATCTGCGTGTAGTGATTATCTTTCTTTGAAGTCTGGAAGTTGAATTGGATGTCACCGAGCGTGTAAATCAGTTTAAAAAAAAATCATATTACCTTTTTGCGCTTCCCGAATCCCAAGGAACCGCTAGATTTGCAATTGATTCGAATTCTGGGAATAACTCTATGTTGATGCATATTCCTAGGAAGGCCCCATTCTGACACTTTTCAACGTGTGCACTGTTGCAGAGAAGATAGTCGATGAGCAACCCGCATCAGTAGCTGAGGATGCTGATGAGTCTAATCATCGCTTGAAGCGTACACAGCTTGAGGCTGTTGGTACGCTAACTGTCCTTCAAATGTCTACATGGTTCTCTTTTGAGTTTCCCTCTTTTTGAAATGATCAATGCTATCTTGTGGTATCTAGTAGCGGACTATATGGATTTCGTAGGATAAGTTTTGTTGGATACCGAACCTTGAGTGACAAAACATATCTGAAAATCTAGCATGTTTAGAGGGCATTTTTGACTTGGTATACTACGGGCGTTTGATGCAGCTGCTTCAGAAGAAATTCGTAAGATGCTTAGGGATCGAGATCTACAGGAGCTCATTTCTAAGATCGATTCTTCATCCAATCCCAAACTGGTATTTTGGCTTATGTTAAGCTTATGTACGAGACGTGGTTGATAAGTTCTTCATGCTTTGTGTAATTTTTGTGCACTGTATTTTAGAAATTTAAAGATTGCTTCGTATGCTTGGAGTTCTACCTGAACCTTGTGATAATCCTTAGGAACTAGAGAAAGCGATGGAAGGACCCTACTTTCGAGAGTTCACAGACAAGGTATTAACTTTCCAAACACTTGTTCTTTTGAAAATTAAAATAGTGTGATTTCAAATAACAACTGGCTTCATTGTCTGCTGGTTTATGACTTACTGATATGAGCCTGTTGTGTTTTTCTCAGCTATTGTCCGTTATAAACCCGTTAGATGATGCATCAGCTACTCACTTGTAATCGTATGCAAGGGCGCCTTCTCATCGTACGTTGAGAATGTCTTCACATCAGTTGGGAAAGATTTGAAATTAAATGAGTTTACTTGGTTTGTGCTTGAAGATAAATTTTAAACTGGCTGTGGATAAACGGGTGGCTAGGTCCATGAACCACATTGCATAGGCTGCTGAGACAATTTGCATAGATGTGGATACATGTGAGGCTTCATGCAATATCAATCGCATGATGCAGAAGTTTTGTAGTTTAGATTTCAGGGAAGAAAGAGTACAGTGAGTATTTTCTCTGGTTGGAGTTGGCTCGTAGAGATTCTCAACTCTTTGTATAACCATATTTGGAACTGAGATAATGTTGGTTTGGTGAGAGCTGTTTGGATGCCACTGGTTTTTATTGTTGTTGCTGCAAAGAAACAGGTGCATGCACACCAGGTTTTTTATCAACTTTCCCGCGTGTCAAGTGGGGACTCGAGAGGATTGTGACAGCACTCTAGTCAGAAAAAGGTTTACATAAAAAGTAAAAAACAAAACATAACAAAACAAAGTGGAACCTTGTGCGTACTCTTACTCGGTATATGCGCGTAAAAATGTAGGCTAAAACGGCTTACTCTAGAGTCTATGACCAAGACTGGGTAGCCCTGCTGAGTAAGGCCAAGTATCTATACTAGCATCCATGAAGCTGCTAGCCTACCAGGAAATTCCATGTACATTAGCGTTAGGAGGTAGCTACGGTTAAAATATATTGAGTGAAGTGAGCTGCATGGCCATGATGAAGGTAAAAACTATGTCTATCCAGTGACACAATCGCAACAGATGACATGAATAAACAACAAAGGCATGGAACAGTGACACAAAGTTCCTTGAGTTAATAGTAAATCAGAACTTTTAACATACATAATTGAGTATGCAAGTTTTTAAGACGAAGAGTAATAATTTCCGCCACCGATGTACTCTGAGGTATCATAACAGGTAATGAGGATTGAGTTCACATCATGCCTGTGCAAAGGCAGGTGAGTGAACACCAGGTGAAGATACTATCTTCCAATCCAGTTCTAGTCTATACAAGTTCATACATCTTGAATCTTACAATCACCTTAACCTATATATTTACAAATCTCAGTTAAAAGTTGAACCAAGTGCACTTCAGAACAACCGATATAGCTCGCAAATTCCAATCACCACCCTCTTCTCTAGGCCTAGAGAATCATTCTTGCAGATTTTCAAGTGGCCATATTTCAGATTAACGGCCGCTTCCAAGGAAGTTGAAGTTATGAGAGTCAAAATCAACTAGATCGCTGATTAACCTCCAATTGCTTTCGCATCCTTCTTCTGATGCCGATCACCTTAAAGTCATACTTGAATCCCAGCAAACACCTTCGTTCAGTGTGCTTGCCTAGTTATCCAACTTTTATTCTATGAAAAGAATGTACATATCGTCCTCGTGTCTAGGCCATGGCAATGCATTGACGATGGCGCGCAGTAACCACATGAGCGTATCCACGAATCCGGTTCCTGTCAGTGTCGGACAGTAATAGAGGAGGCACTATCGGTAGTGTTGCAGCCTCGATTACAAGAAAGTCGAGAAGAGCAGCAGCTTTCTCATATGAAGTAGCCGCAATTTCCATATTTCCCATGAGCTCATCCACCTGAAGCACAAAACCAACCCCAGCACATATTCTTCAGTCCATGCGTTAAGAAAATGATATAATTACTACGGTATGTGAGGCAAAATTGACTTGCTATTCTAATAACACAACTCTACTTGATCGCCTTTCCAATAACTGGTAAACACTAAACTTGCAGTAATCAAGAAGGAACAGAGGATTGGGAAGTACCGCTCCAGCTCTACCGAGGTCAAGTGCTGTTTGGAAGATGAGCTCCACAGCATCCGGCATCTCGGCGGAGACTATGGTTAATTAATCAACACCAATGGGTTTAAGAGCAATCATAAAGTTAATCATGATGTTTCAAATTAAATCGGCCTCTACGTAAGCTCCTGCTGTACATGGAAACTGGTGTCCTAAGAATCGAAAATGCTCTTAAATTACCCCAAATACCAGCTGCTTATATTTCCTACACTAAATATTCCATGTGTGAAATCAGGAGCGCCCACTTACCAATGCCACTATTGATATGCACTGCTAAAGATTCAGCCCGTCCAACAGCAAAAGCAAACTCCCGTTCCACTAAAGAACAAGCATTTGCTGCAGATCTTTCATCACTTTCGCCACCTTCTGAAATACTCCCTCGTTCATTACTGCAAACTTTTCCGAAGTCACCGACGTTGCATGCCCAGGTTTGACACACTCGAAGAGCTTCCTTCCAGATTGCTAGACAAAGAAGCTGGATTGAAAATGACTCCAACTGCTGCCCTGCATATATCTGCGACAAACATAACCATGTAATAAGGACATTGCAGCTACTAAGTCTGTACAACAATGCTCTTGAAGTAGATAAGTTGAGCAAAGAGTAGAGGGAAAGGGGAAGGAGTTTACAACCTTCAAGCATGTTCACCATAAGGTCTCGACTAAGGTCGATATACCGAACGTATGCTTGACAGCAATAAAGCAATAGAATGATACCCATTCCCTAGTTTCTTCCTTCTTCCTCTACACTCCATCACGAATCGTTCAAAACGGCAACAAAAGATCCATTTTCGAGGCCCTGTCTAGTGTCAGCTATTCTAACATCAATTTTACAGATTCAAGCAACTGAAAGTACAGAAAAATCTAACCTTATCTGTGGCGACTTCAGTAATGAGTCGTGCAAATCTCTGTAAAGAGGGAAGTCGTGTAGGTGGATGATCTGAAGGAACTTTGACCTCTTGTAAGCTATGTAATGGGGCAGAACCATTACTGGCAACACTGCCAACCTCTCCTGTAGTATGTCTGCGGCCCACGTTTAAATTTTTGACTTTCTGGGGAGAGCCATGAATCCTTTTTCCTTCATGCTGGCCGCTAAAATCAGAATCTCTTGATGACATCGCAAGATTATCTGTCGATATTACTGGAGCTGTCACGAGGACATACTCCCGTTCTATTGTGTCCATGGAATCTCCCGACGCACCTTCAAACCAAGAGACACAAGGGGGACGAATGTACTCAGTCGAATTAGAAAAACGCGAAGAACCAAAGCATGTTCAGAACACTATTGGAAAAATGGGTACCATGAGATACAATTATAACTGGCTCAGAAATTTTTAAAATGGGAGATGTACCGATCACACGAGTACACATAGAATCATACACTATTTTGAATGGAAGGAAAGTAGATTCCCGTGAAAGAAATGAAGAAAGAAAAAGAAAAACTACAGTGAAATTGTTTGAAGGCAGAGCACAGCTCTAGAAGTTATAATGAATATTTACCATCGGTTGAAGAATCGGAATGCCCAGAATCAAAAATATACTCTATAACTCTACTTTCTCCGGTATCCTGGTCCAGAACACTAGATTCGTTGTCAAGATGATTTGTAGGAGGAAAACCCATTCTAGTCGAGAGTGAATATCCTACATTTGCGTTTTCCTCGGTTGAAGGAAGGGATGGGCTGCTGGAGGATGAAGCTGAGAACAAAGGCGGCTCAGAAAATGAGGATTCTCCACGTAAAGAGGCTTGTTCCTCGTCATCCAATGAAAATGGGAACAGTTCTTCCTGAGAAGTTTCACTTGCCTCACCAGTTCCTCCACACGTGCTCCCTCCTACTTGAGTATCCTGTGTCTTGAGTCTGAAAGTGCAAATAGTTTGTCTTGATGCAATAAAATTGATCGCCATCACAAGTGAGGATGAAAACAAGACCATGTATACCGAGTTTGGGAACCAAGGGAGACAAAGCAAATACGGGTGTGAAATACCTCATTGAGCCTATGAAAGGATGAGTAAAGAAATCCTCAAAAGACAATCGTTCAACTGTACAATATCGCAGAATTTTTCACAAGCATCAGCGGCCTCGTAATGTGCTAATGACTTGGTGGAAAGCATGGGAAACAACAAATCCATATCAGATTGAACTTAGTGCAACAGTTTTTCGCAACTTAAAGCAATGAGCATTCACAACCACTGCCGACTGCATGAAGACGTAAGGACGATAGGAGTCACTTGAATACTACGTTCTTGCCAACTACGATACTACTACAGATGGGAACTTTGGAGCACCTGGGTCCATGCGAAGCAATTTGCGGCACATATCGATGCATTCAGGGTGTAATTGGGCCATAATTGCATCTGGAAATCGCACTTCAGTCGATTTCATAATGTTTTGAAGCAACTGGTATTCAGCAAAAAAATATGAGAATATATTAGAACTAAATCATAAAAAGATACAGAAACTATCAATAACATCCCAAGTTGCGAAACATGTGATGCAATCACAAAATATAATTCATCAACGGACACATATTCCTCATTCAACCAAGAAAAAAATGACCTGAACATGGTTGTTCCCACTGAAAGGAGGCCGCCCAGTTACCAATTGGAAAAGAATAGCACCCACACTCCATAGGTCTGCCTGCAAAGACCTCAGAAGCAAGACAACAGAATGAACCGCGACTTTGTGCTGATTATCATATAGCTACCTGAATTGGACATACCTAACTCGTGCTCAATAGAGACACCGAGGGCAATTACTGTTCTCGATTGGATACCAACGACACACGAATCCCCACGAATGACGGATCATTTCACATAAACGTGTGTCGCATTCTAGCGCAAAATTTCTGCAGCTTAAACTTTCTGCAAAATCACGAACAAAAGCTGTGATGAAAGCCCACAGAAATGTCTAAGAGATGTTTCTGATACATAGCAGATACCTTTACTTACAAGTCTAATGTTACGTCAGACATCTATCTACCTTAGCATCATATTGCTCTGACTGGAGGACCTCGGGAGCCATGTACAGAGGCGACCCACATAAAGTATCCGCCATGCCTAGAGGTTGGAGTGACCTGGCGAATCCGAAGTCCGCAATTTTCAGCACCGCATGACCATCGTCTTTAGAGAGTAGCAAATTCTGCAAAACAGTAAATGTTCAATAACAGACCGGAAGGATCAACCCATGACTTCCCTACTATGAAAGGGACATAGACTTCATGAAGCATGTCGAATTTCCGTCAGTGATTCAGTGACGAGTACGCTCAACAGGGGCAAAATCCTCAAAAATCTTCTACTGACTGAGAACACATAGATTAGAAATCTGACCTGTTAAACATTTACTAAATTCCCGACGGTAGCAGAAAGAAAAGTAACAAACGGTATCATTCCAACCTGTGGTTTGAGGTCACGATGCATCAGATTATTATTCCATAGCACCTGAAGTCCAGCTCCTGAAGAATCAACAGATGTCCACCCATCCACAAATCAACTTAGGTTTCACACCTGCCCACGAGCGCGCAACAGAATTATCCCAAAAATTCGTCGACTACGCTACCCTTCTAAATTCACCCGTGCCAAGTCCACAAGAACCACCTACCCAGCTGCCGCATGAAGAGGCGTGCAACTACTTCAGTAGCCTTGCCATGCCGCTGGATGTAAGCAGCCAAATCACCACCTGCGCAGTACTCCAATACAAGATGTATCCTGTCTTGCGCCTGTAAACACTTCCCAGCGACCTCAAAACCGAGCCAATTCCCATGAAAACCAAAACTCTACTACTCGAATCGACAAGGTAAGATGGCCCCACAAAAATAATATCACAACTTGTAAACCATCTGCAACCAATCAAACATAATCAATTGACCGACCAAAGATGATGCTAACCTCGACAATATCATGCAATTTGATGATATTGGGGTGATCGATTCGCTGCAAAATCGCGATCTCCCTCCTCAAGCTCTCCTGCAACTTTCGGTTCAGCCTCTCGGTGGCAATCTCCTTAATTGCGACGTCAAAACCCGGGTGCTGCTTGTGGTACCCCTTCCACACCACCGCAAAACTCCCCGATCCTATCTGCCGGGTCACAATGTAGTCCCCGATCGCCCGTTGGCCTTTCACCCCATGCCTGAGACTCAGGATATTCATATGATGCTGGTGATTCAGTGCCCCCGCCATCGCCGACTAGTTCTAAACAATCCGGCTACTAAACAATCTGGGCGAGAAACTCTGTGACGTTGTGCACACGCTTGGGCGATTATCCCACGTCAAGCTTACACAACAACGCCCATGATTCTACTCAAAATTGCATGGATATTTTCAATCGTTACAGCCACGAAGGGATTCCATCAACATCCGCATCGGAAATTGGAACAAATAATTTGTGCGTTGCACCGACACCAGACGTGGGCTGAATTCAGATCAGCTCAATTCAAGACCCTCCTCCTCCTCCTTCGCAGGTTCGGGTATTCCGGAATGCTCGTCGTCCGGGGTTCATCAGTTGGAGGATGATTTCTCGGCACTGAGGCTGCCCTGTGGATCAGCGACCACGATTGTATATAATGTTCTAAATCCTCAGAAATTAGTCTCCACAACAACATACGAAGAAATAAAATAAAATTTTCGAAACATTGAAAAACATATTCTTTTTGGCACTTGTTGCTATTTACTAAAAGTCGATATAATTTTAATTATAGACCTGCATAGAGTAATTTCAAAATATCAAGAAGTGGCAACAAATTGAACAAACAACCGAAAATATTGGAATTCTTATACCTAACTTTTTTTCAACAGTGTTTTGAAGTTAATACATAATACTTTGAAAGTGAGAAGCAAAGGTTGAGACTGATTGGAAAATAATTATTATGACGAGATTATCCTTCTAAGGCAAGGATTTCGCACGTGCTCATGCCGGAGTGGTTATCGGGCATGACTAGAAATCATGTGGGCTATGCCCGCGCAGGTTCGAATCCTACTGAGCACGTTAAACTACCAGTTTTGTTCACCTCCGTCTGGATCTTCCTGCACATGTAAAGTTTTTTTGCTTGCAATGCCTTAAGCTCTCGCATCCAGACACCGCTCACACACAAAGTCAAGTGTTCAGTTTGTTAATAAAAATAAGTAAAATCAATACATTTGATTCTAGTATGTGATTTTTTTGAGAATCTTCATTATTTTTTAGGATATATATATATATATATATATATATAATATTTATACATGTTCATATCAGTTTTTTATAATTGACTATAAATAGCACTTACATAAAAAAAATTAGGTCTTTTGTATAAGCTTTCATTATATAATAAGTAAATATATTTAGTTTATATATATATATATATATATATATTTATTCCAATTATCTAATATCTCTCACCTGATATTTCTTACTCATCTAATAATATTTTTTGGAACAAAGGTTATTCCTAAGTACTAAACTTATATTTTTGATGGACTAATATTTCTTGCATAATTCATAAAAATTCCATCTACCAAGATTATAAATTAAGAAATATAAATTCATATATATATATATATATATATATTGGCTTCTTTTAGTTTTGTATGCATTTATTATTATTATTATTATTATTATTATATATGGATTGTAATAAAAAAAAATTGAAGAAAAAAACTTATTGTTGAATTTTAATATGCTTTTATCTAAGAGCATGATTTTTTTTCATCTTAAAATCTATTTATAATTAGTTTCTATTCAACCCATTTATTTTAAAAGACACTTGTATTTTTATTTTATTTTTAATTTTTTTTTATAAGAGTTTCTTTAAAAGAATTTCTTTATGATTGCTTTATGAATTCTTTAGGATTTTGTAAAGATTTCTTTGATGTTTCATATGAATTATCTAATGATTCTTTTAGGATTTTTTTAAGATTCTTTAGGATTTAATTAAATTTTAACTATGATTATTAAGGTTCAATTAAGGTTTTTTTTAAAATTTATTATGATTGTTTTCTTTGCTTGTTGCAAATACAATTTATCTTCTACAACTAGATATTATATCTATTCTTAGATTAGTTTTTACATGACAAGACAACATAAAATCTTTGCCAAAGCTTAGGCAAAATATGTTGAATAATGTGTTAAGGATAAGAACTCAATGAAAACAATTAAATAAGTGAGACTTTTTCAAAGAAGTATAAAAAAATAGAAATAAGGAAGTATGTATATTAATAAATAAATAAATAAATAAATAATGGAATGGATATTTTCAAAAGACAAGAAAACTAAAGACTTCTTGAAATTAAACTAAAACATGAGCTGACAAGAGTGAAGAAGGCTTCATTCTTGCCTCTATATATACTATCTACCTAAGAGCTATGTAGTGGTGTTCTATAAGACCTCCAAAACGTGTTGACTTTGTACAACACATATTTTAATTTGCAAGGTAAGTTTTCTATATGGACGCCATATAGTTAATTTGTTTAGCAAGCTACCAACATATGTAGCATGTAGTTAACTTGTTGACCAAGTTTCTAACCTATCAATCAACTATAAATATATATAAGGTCAAAGCAGTGTCTATGAAGGTTTTAAGAACCTATCCTAGAAGATATTATGAAATTAATCTTTTTTTATTTACTTCTATCTATCCATATTATTTAGATAACAACTATAGTAAATATATGTCCATGACATTATTCCTCTTCTAGGAACGAGTTCTACAAAGAGAAATGATTACATGTCAAAGAAGTCCAAGATGTGGCAAATTATATTTGCTACATACTCTAATCTTTGTTTCCTTCAAAGGTAGTTGATAAGTCTTCTCAGCCATTGGTAATGTCCCATATTAAGACAAGAAGACCATCTTGTTATTTGATCATTGTTGAGACCTTTGTAACTTCTTTCAAACAAAATATTTGTAATATCATCAAGAGTTGTTCCTACGTCTAATAAAAATTACCAAACATTGAGACTCTCTTCTTAAGTCATGATATCAAATACGTTGGATCTTGTTATCTATTTGAAAAAAAACATGTTGCCTTTGAAAGTCTTTATTTCTATTGCGTCATCTTGAAGGTTGTAGTAATTACAATGTCTTATCTTATAAGTCAACAAACAATAGCTCTTCAATTGAATCTATTAGCTATTAGTTTTCCATCTCCTTAATGCCATAATTATATAAAAACTACAAACAAAGATAAAAGATAGAATATAATCTTTCGTAAATTGTGTTTCTTGTATAACATATATTTGTTATCTTTCATCTTGGTTTTAATAGATATTATAGATGAAAAGCTTTGATCTTCTCTACTACATTTGTAAGATTTTTTTTTTGGCTCCTATGTGCATTTGTAAATATCATATCTGCACCAATGAATAAGATATTCTAACCTAAGTAATCAATAAGTGACTCGATTGACTTATTCACAAATAAGAATGATTTAAGTCTATAGTAATCAAACTTATCTCAAGGACAAATAATTTTAATATTATAACAAAGCAATCATACCTTATTACTAATATAGAAATGAGGTTGTTGCTTGTAATAGGCATCCACATTATTCTTTTTTTGTTCTTGAGTCTCTTATAATAACGCCTTCATTATTATATGTATCTTAGATAAATAATTTGTCAAATCTTCTACTACAAGATTATCAACTTTTGAAAATTCAAAAGCATTAAGTCATGGATAATAACCATAATTAGCAAAGAAAGATGTTTGTTGTATAGAAAAATATATTGTGTTATTATAAATAATTTTTTCCAATGGCAAAAGAAATGTCTAATCATCTTATTGATAATTGATGGTATATCTCAAATACTGCTCCAAAACTTGGTTCATATACTTAATTTGTCCATCAATTTGAAGATAGAAAGCTAAAGATAATTTTATGTCTACCTTTAGAATCTTAAAAAAAATTCTCTAAAATCTGAATAAAAACTAAGTTATCCTATCTGATATAATATCCTTAAATAATCCATGATAGCAATAGATATTGTCAAAGAAAAGCTTAGTTGCTTCTTCACATATGATAAATTTTGTATATGGTATAAAATATGCCATCTTGATAAAAATGAACTACTATCACAAATTTAGAGTCATAAGAACTTGAAACTTAAAGATCTCTGATAAAATCTATAGAAACAAAAAATCATAGTTGTTCTAGAATAGATAACATCAAAGATATGAACTTTAAAGAATTAAAATATCAATATATTATTATATTATTCAAAAAGACTAGAAAATTACTCAAAGATGATATAGTATTAAACTACAATGGCTATTATTAAAGACAAGAAGACTTATAAAGTCTTGAAACAAGACTAAGGACTAGAAAGGCATTGACAAGAGTGAAAAGGCTTCATTCTTATCTCCATAAATATTCTTAAGTATGAGATATGTGGTAACATCCTATAAGACCTCTAAAACATGTTAACTTTGTTAAGTACATATCTTAACTTATAAGGCAAGTTTTCTATATGTGCATAATATAATTAGCTTATTTTATAAGCTATCAACACATGATTAATTTATTGACCAAGTTTCTAACCTACCAATCAACTACAAATACATTTAAAGTAAAAGCAACCTCTATGAAGCTTCTAAAAAGCTTATCTAAAAAGTATTATGAAATAAATATAATTTTATTTACTTCTATTTAATCATATAGGTAAATATTAATATAAATATAAATGTTTGTGACATTATCCCTTCTTCTAGGAAAGAGTTCTATCAAAAGTAATCATCATATATTGAAGTAATCCAAGATGCGTCAAATTATATTTGCTACATACCTTTGTTCTTTTCAAAGATAGTTGATAGGTCCTCTCAGCCATCAATAGTATTCCATACTAAGGCATGAAGCCAACTTGTTATTTAATTATTGTTGAGGCTTTTGTAACTCTCTTCAAATAAAATATTTATAATACTATCAAGAGTCCTTCTTACCTCTAATAAAATCACCAAATATTGAAAGTCTTTTCTAAGGTCATAATACCAAATATGTTGTATTAATATCATATCCATGCCAATGAATAAGATATTTTAATCTATTTTGGTACCACCTTAAATCTAAGACTTCTTCCATCTCAAATTCTTGATTATTATCCACTTCTATAGGAGGACGTGGCATTTGTCTTCTTTCCAATATATTCATTTTCTTGTATGACTCAAAAAGAGATACATAAAATACAAGATGGATTTTCATAGACTTTGACAGATGTAATTGATAAGCAACAAGATTGACTTGTTTATTAATAGGAAGAGGTTTAAATCTACAATAGTTCAACTTTCTCAATTTTTCTTACATTTGTGCCATTGTATTCTTCATTTTGACGAAATCTACCATAATAACACTTAGAGGAAAAGAGATGTCTAATATCATTCAAGATAAGTAAAAAAAAAGAATTTAAAAGCAAAAAAAATAATATCAATTTAGAAGAGGGTTATTTTCAACTTCTTATATGCTTATGTCTTATCAAGAAAAAGAGATAGTTTATTCTAATTTTTTTTAAAAAAAATAAAAAATAAAAAACAAA